GATTCATTACAATTATGGGTTTTGGGGGTTTCCATAGAAATTAGATGTATCACAAAGAATTCTCTCTCTCCATGCAAGGCTGATGCATTGTACATCTTTGAGATTTTTAGAACTGTTCTAACAGAAATGTCAATGTCAGAAGCTGAAAGCTTGTGGATAATGGTATGTTTTGGCATTAATTTTCTTCTTTGTTTTACTTTTTTCCCTTTCACGCCCTAGTTGATGTTTGTTTGTTGATCATCACCCTTGCTGAATGAACTTGGATCCCCTCATGCTGCAACCGAAGTTATGATTTACCTAAACATGTTTAATTATATTTTTTCATCGGCATTGTATAAATATATATATATATGTGAAAACTTATTAATATTTTGTACTTTTATATCTTCCTCTACTACATTGGAAACAGTAAGGCAATTAAGTTGACGAGTATGAAAGTGCTGGTGTAATTCTATCTCATTCTACAGGCTCTCAAGTTCTTTGGAAATCAGAAGAAATATTTTGAGAAGATGATTGAGCTTTCTCTCAAAGCCGTTGCTAAATATGGTGGCAGTGAGAATGAATTTTCTCTATCTTCAGCTGTAGTTAATTTCATCCTTCAAAAGGATGGACTTAAACGTGCAAGAGAGGTGTATAAGCGGTATGTTATTATGTCTTGAGTCGATGTTTTTGATTACTTTATTTTGCCTCAATTGTATCTCCCCAAGAACTTGAAGTAGGGTTGCTGCTTTGCTTTTGCATTTATAAGTTAGTAGTTTAACATAAGTGTATTGCCAATAATTCATTTGATGCAAGAAATTGCTTACTTTGTGTCCTCTTCCAATCGTAGATTCCTGGCTCTACCTCATTCAGGTCTTGCATTATACAAAAATTGCATTGAATTAGAGTCAAATCTTGCCTCTATTGGCAATGAGGATTCTCTAGTAAATGCCCGAAAGTTGTATGAAGCTGCACTTACAACTTATGACCAAGACACCAGCTTATGGAAAGATTACCATTCCCTTGAAACTAAGGTGAGCTTTTTATATGATTTCTTTCATAACAATATCTCTGATTTTGACTTGTATCTTGTGCTCTCACTCACTATCTTCCAACCCCCTTTTACAGTTGGGGACATCAGAAACTGCTGCTGCTATTTATTGGCGTGCTCGTAAATCATTAAAAGACTGCTGTAGTTTTTTAATTCCCCTGATCAGTTACAGTTTCTTCAGTTTTGGTGTCTGATATCTCTATTTATTTTAATTTTTTGATGTTTTAAAGAGGAAGCAGAGGAAACCCTGCCTGTAAGCGTAAGTTCCGAAAGGAAATTGAGTAAATTTTGAATCAGATCTTCGGTGGGTAGTCATATTGGATATGGTTGTATGACATGAATGTGGAAAATGTAGTATGATAAGAAAAATAATATGATTATAGGATGTTTGTTAAATTTTTATGTTAATCATTATTTTGAGCAAATTGGAATTTAACACATGGTACCTGGATAAAGCATCAAACTATGGCATTGCCCTGACGGTTAACAGATAATCTAGTGATTAGTATTAATTGCAACGGTTAAATTACATAAAAAAGAACAAGCACAAGAAGCAAAGCGAAATATGTTGGAGCTGAGCCTCAGGTTTCAGATTGATCTCAGGATGGCTTGTAATATTTTGTTGGTACAAAAGGCATTTTGGTGACAACCCCATCATAGGCCTTTCCTCTTACCAAAATCTTAGCTTTAGTTCCTGCTTTGTGTAACCCGGATTTAACGTATCCCATTGCAATGTTCTTCTTGAGGCAGGGGCTAAATCCTCCGCTGGTGATTTCACCAATGTTGTTCCCTTTCTCGTCCTGAATCTCACTGTGGGATCGAGGAGGTGGGCCTGAGGAGGTGAAGCCAACACGCCTGATAGTAGGACCCTCTTCCAGTTGTTTAAGTATGACCTGAGCTCCTAGGAATCCACCTTCTGCTCTCCTCCTCTTCCCAATGGCCCAGTTCAGTCCAGCCTCAACTGGTATGTTGTTCCATGTCATTTCCATATAAACACAGCCCAGCTTCGAGTCGTAGACTATCTCTAGCTCCAAGACCAGTCAACCTAACCTTCCCTTCATATCTCTCCAGGATTGCTTTAGCAAGATCCACAGCATTTTCCGAGGGAACTGAGATTTCAAATCCATCCTCACCGGTATACCTGATCAATAGGTTAAAGACACAGCTCAATCAGTTACCCTCCATAGCCATCATAAAAAAAAATGATAACATCACCATGCCAACCAAATTAATAAAAAAAAAAGGAAGATTACCCAGTCCGAGTGAGAAAGCATGTTGCACCATTGATATCCAATATACGGAATTCCCCAAAATATAGCTTACTAAGATCATCCTTTGTCAGCTGTTGAAGAACTGGGGCAGCTAGAGGACCCTGCAAAAGAGCAGACAAATGTTTCAACTGTCATTGGTAACAGAAGACTACATTTTCTACGTCTAGTGAGAGGACAAAACACAGATAGACATATACAAGCCAAAGTGAACATAGTTCACTTGCCTCAGGCAATTCATTCTGTTTAATTCTTAATAACCTGCAAGTGCAAGCAGACCGAATGTTCAAGAATAAGAGAACATTTGATTGGGGAGGAACAGTTGCATAGAGTAAAGTAAAGATAGAAGCAAAAGTATGCATGCATGTTTGACACAAAATTCACCGGCAAATTGCAAGAATGCAAAATAATGAATCTATAAAGAGAATCAGGCGTAGAGACATACAGTTAGAAGAGTTTAGAGAGTAACCTGGAGAGCTAGAAGAGATCTCTCATCATGGATGTGCCACGAGACATCACCACCTTTGGACTTGAATGCCTTCATATGCTCTTCGATGTGTGCCAGATCTTTATCCCTGCAGCCTGCATTCACAACCAGGTATATGTGATCATCCTTCACTTTGGTGATCACAGAATCATCAATTGCCCCTCCCTTCTCATTTGTAAAGACGGTTAGCGTTCCCGTTCCAGGGGCAAGTCCAGCAACATCAGCAATGACGAGCTTTTCGAGGAATGGAACACATTCCTTTCCCTTAAGGCTCAGCCCACACATATGGGATACATCAAAGAGGCCTCCATTCTCCCTGCAATTTACCGTAGAGTCCATGATCGAGTCCTTGTACTGAATCGGCATGCTCCATCCAGCAAATGGGACCATCTTCCCATCATTAGCAACATGGAAGTCATAAAGTACAGTCTTTTTCAGATCAGCCTCTGAAGCAAAGAACCGACGAGCTATGGCCTTCTTGTCAGTTTGCGTAAGACGACGTGTAACCGATTGCCCAAGATGCCAAAGACTTCCCCTCATCTTCTAAAGTTGAAATATCTGATGAAGAGTATCTTCCAGAAATAAGCAATAACACAATCTTGTAATGCTCAGTCGTGTAAGGAAACGCAAGTTCAACAGATGTTACACACGATCGAAGAACTATCAACAGGCAAAAGCAGTGAAAAATGAAATCCATTTTAGAACATTCTAAACCGACATTTACATCATTGTGCAATGCTCATCTAAAAAAGTTGTCAGAAATGCCGAGGGTTAAAAAAGAACGTCATTCATGTACGAGGCAAATAGAATGGAAACGTGTTGTAATTCAATGGAAATGCTTTCTATATTCAAAACACACAGGCAATCCCATGAATCATTCCAATTTCAATGTTTACAAACCACCATCATATTACTAATCAAATATCATACGAATTTCTTTACAGATGATGATCCAAAACGATCTAGAAATCAGCATTGAGCTGTTCAAGACATGCAACAAACAACCAGATCATCTCCAACGAATACTCGCCATTGTACCAAAGTTTTTTAGATGCAAACCATCGAAACAGAAAAGGGTGTTTAACAAAAGAAACCTACGCTGTCACAGTATCCAAAGATCAAAATCAAATTCACCGCAAACACCACAAGGACAAAGAATAATGGTACCAGGATTTTAAAGACAAAAATATCAATGCATAAGACAAAACAGGACCATGGAAAAGGCTTACAAAGAACCCTTCCCTGCGTTTTTCTTCTTCAAAACTCCCAAAGAGCGCAAGAGATGATTGCTCTGCTAAAAGATTGAAAAAAAGGATAGCCTTTTATATATGGGTGAACGATATTACTACATAAAAAACTAAAGATATTGGTAATGCTATTATTATTAATGATGAGATGGTCTCATAGGTAGTATAGTGGGTGGAGGGGGGTTTGTCTGCAAAATCCACAAAAACAAATAGCCAACAAAACCACATCGTCAGCGAGTGGTGCTGAAAGGACTTTGGAGCTATACGATCAAGCGGCAGCCTTCGTGGATCCTTTATCAATCAGTCGGTGGATGCTGATGTCATTAACGGATCTAGAAATTAAAAAAAAAATCAAAATTTAAGTACTTTATTCTATAAAATTTGAGTATACATATTTTCTTATTTTTTTCTTTTCTCATTAATAAATTAAATTAAATTTAACACTTTCTTTAAAATCATTGGTGTACAGTGATCCCTAAAGGAGCCACGTACATCCACCCCTGGCTCATGGCATACTCAGACCAGACAACGTTGAACTCAGAGACTAGTTAGCCCACTTGAAATAACAAATTGGGATTAAATTTTTGACCCGAACCCAGTCCAAGCATACAATGATGAACACTTCTCTTAATCCTTTAAAAACAGTTCGAAGAGTCAAAATGTCAACATCCAGTTGTTATATATTATTACCTGATTGAAATATTCAGTTCTTCTACTTTGAAATTTCAATATTCTCACATCATTTATACAGTTCTTTCTTTTTTGTTTTGTTGAAGAAGTGTAGAATGCAAAATCCAAACAAATAATCAACTTTAAAGAAAAAAATACACATTGATTTCTATGCACGAGCCAGGAAGTATATTTTCAAGTTTCCATATATTTACAAAAGTGTACAAAAAAAATTATCAGTGAACCAGTGGTTAACTAAATGAATCAAAGAATAATAGTTATACATATGCACATGTTTTGATCTTGAATATATGGATTAAAACAGCTTGCTTGCGAATTCATCAATGGGACTTCCTTCTATACGAGAGTAACTGGATTTTTTGGCTACATCTCTCAGCTGCGTTAAGCTTCTTCCCAATTGCAACGCCACCTTCATTTCAAACAACTCCCCATTTTCTCTTCTACCCAACTCACTTTCACTCAGAGTTGATTCAATAGATTCTTGCACATGTTTGAAGAAGCCGGCGTTGTTCCTATACATCTCAAACACCATACCGACTTGACCACCGTGCTCCAAAGTGTTAACTGCTGAAGCTAAAGCTCCTGCAACGGCTGCTGCCCAAGGACCATTGGACGAATCCATAAAGGCAGATCCTAAAGCTGCAATTCCAGTCAGTATTGGCCCTGAGGCAGCTAAAATTTTGTTCATCTTCAATGCCTTATTGCCTAGTCTCTCGTAATCTTCACTGTCTTTTCTCTTAATCACCTCAACCACTTCTCTCATTTCCATTTCCAGCTCCTCGCTCCATCCATTGCTTTCAACGACTTGTTTGTTTGTTTTCTGAGATTGGACCTTAGGCCACCAAACAGCGGGCTCTAAACTTTCCGGGAATTTTTCAAGCATTACACCTAGTAAGGGAAGAGGGTAAGCTTTATCGAGGGCCAAGACATTCTCCATAGCATCTTTCACGTCTTCTTTGCTTGGAGAGCCGATAGAAAGTAGGGTTTCTATTTTTCTCTGAAGCTGCTTAAACAATCTGGTTGCATTACGTTGCTCTTCCACAAGCTGCGAGGGTTGGATTTTGTTCATCAACATCAACATTCCCGTGGCTGCAGAGAACAAGAGAGTCGATGCAACCTTCAAACTCAGAACAGAAACCCCAGCGCCGCCGGTTGCCATAACACCAGCCATGGTAGCGGCGGTGAGAGTGATCATGTTGATGGAGTTAAGAAGAAGGGTGTTCCAGTTTTCCCGTTGTTGCCCGACGTTGTTGTGCATCTCCACTCTATCGGCAATGGACTCTAAGATAGCATGAAGTTGTATGGTAGCCATTGAAACCGATGAGCTTTCTTCAACCAAAGGTGTCCCAATAACATTCTTTTCAAATGGGATAGTGTTGATGAACCCATCCCTGGCAATCAAATCCGCAGACAATCCTTTGGTTGCTACTTTCGGAACTGACAACCTAATCGATGGAAGCTTTGGCACAGATAGAGCGGCACGGATCTGCTTTGAAGGAGAAGAAGAGAGTAGAAAATTAGAAGCTTGTAAAGAAGCCATGTGACTCCGTTTATTCTTCAAGATATCTTCTGCTTGTGAATTTGTATTGGAAAATAAGTTTGAAGAGATTTGTTTGCAGATGTTATGGATGAAAAGCTGTATCTATAGCGACCAACACAGGCGGCGATGAATAGATTTGACGATATCAAGTCATGTTGACCGAGTGATTGAATTGAATTCAAAAGAGCTTTTTGTCTGACCTATTCGCATTTTAGATTATTTCTCATTTCGGATCGGGAAGTGGTAAAACAATCAGGGGCGTAAAAAATCTGATTCGGTCTATTAGATTTAGGGATGGGCATGAGACCTATTCGATCGGATTGGTTTTTTTTTTTAAAAAAATTGTGCTATGGCCGAGTTCAGTCAGTTTTTTTAAGTGTTATATTTGAGTCGTGTCAGATTCAGATTTATGGTGAAATAATCAGACCTGACCAAAAAAATATATATAATTTTACCTTATATATTTAGGTATAATTATAATAATACCCCTCTATATATAATTTTTTTAATTAAGTTATTGTTATATTGAATAAAAATAATATTTTTATTATTATTTCGGGTCGGTCGAGTTTCTAAGTTATATATTTGATTGGGTCTGGGGTGGAGGCTCCCTTGTTCTCGGGTCAGGTCGGGTGGACCAAAAACCTGACCCAACCCGACCCATGCCCATTCCTAATTAGATCTGGTGATTAAATCCAAAAATTTAGATATTCGATTAATTTTTTTTGACAATTCAAATTGAATATTTGAATTTTTTTGAATAATCGGATCGGATACAAATTGAATAAATTCTAATTTTGAATTATCCGAAAAAATTGGACTCTTAGATTTTATATACCATTTAGCCTATTAAATATCTAACCCAATAAAAATCAGAATATTTAATTTTTTATTGTGTACGAGTAATTATATATAATAGTAGGACTATCGAATAAATTACATTAAATTATAAAATTTAAATTTAATTTTTTTGTAAAAATAAATTTTAAACTCTAATATGGATCAATATTTTAGGTATCCGAATTTGCACACTCGTAAAAACATTATTTAACTTTGAGATGAATTATATGTGTGTGTAAAATAATATTTTACGATCCCTTAAAAAGAAAATTAAACCTCAAGTAAGAAGCCATATTTTAAAATAATACTATTCCAATTTGAATAGTTAAAAGAGATTAATTGATTGAGTTATTTGGATAATATTTTGACTTTTTCCTCTTCCTAAGAAAATATGTTTGAAAATATTTCTTCCAATCCCATTTATTCCCTCTCAAAACCCCAATCCCAATAGTCAACCGGATGAATTAGCCTTCCATAAGCTATGCGAATAGCTTATGGAAAAAGAAATTAAGGATATTCAAACGATTAATTTGGGTCCTCGATCAAATTAAATTATCAATTAATTGATTTTTTTTAACCGTTGATCGAACTGAATTTTTTTAAAAAAAAATATTAATTGAACCGAATAAAGTTCAGTTATTTCGGTCGGTTAACTGAATTAATCGATTTTTTATATTTTTTATAATTAGATTAATTTAAATATAACATATGTATATTTGTTTATTTGAATTAAAAATTAGTTAGGTATTGATAATTTAATAAGTCTAGTGTGATTAAGAAATAATGGGTATTAATTTTTAATGGGTTTGAGTTTAAAATATGTTTATAATATATATATATATATATAAGATTTTAATAATTTATGTTCATTTGGTTAATTAACCGATTTCGAACCGAATATTAAAAAAAATATTAATCATTTCTCGACTGAACTAATTTAGTGACCTACTGATTCTATTCGATCGTAATACAATTAAAATCGAATAATAAACGCCGCTAGCGTTGGAAATTGTGGTCAATTCAAACAAATAACCTGTGACAAAGGGATACATTGGTCGAAATGAACGAAAATTTTCGACGGGAAGAAAAAAGGGTAACGAGATTTCAAGATTTAACACCCGTGACCTAACAATAATGGAGATTGCTCCAACATACAAATACCCTTTTACACAAATTACTAAACGCTGAATTAAAATTCATAATTATAGATACATATTCTAATGTATATTATCATAATATATGACATAAATTTAAGTAAATAATTATGTTATATAAACTATAAAGTATTAGAAGTATCATGAAATTAAAATTGTATATATATTATTAAAGTTGTATTTATAATTTGATGAGAGATAGATTTATAATTACATATAATAACCAATTCTTTAATTAATTATATAAGGATGATATGGTCCCAATAAATAGATAATTTTTTCTAATCTCTGTCTATAAGAGAGTTTATACTAAATAAAACTCCATCTTCTTGGAATATCTCAACTAAAGACAATCTTCGAGATCTCAACCTTTTAGGTGATTTCTAGTTATAGATTCAGGTACGCTTTCTTAAATCTAGTGTTTATGATTCTTGATGATCGACTTTAATGTAATTACAATATGAGAGTTACATGTCCTTAAAACTAATTTCCCACCGTTTGCCCTGGTCAAGGATTTGGTCCATCCATCAATGGGTAGATAGAGAGAAGAAAATATTGATAAATAAAAAGATGAATCTACTATGAAAAATATTCATTGAAGGGTGGTTAGTGGTAACCAATAAATTACTTAAGCCGTTTTGTATGATATTGTTGGCCAATGTTTATGAAATTACGAGTTTTACCTTAAAGAATAGGTTACGTAGAAATATTGTAGCAACTTATTACATATAAGATAAATCTTATTGGGGTCTATTTAACGACGAGTCTACTATGAGTGATATTTTTTGAAATGCACCACTAATATAAAATAGGGAAAAATTCATAAATAGTTATAATTTTTTTAAAATCGATTTTATTTAATGTTGAATTTTTAAAAATTACAAAATGAACACTAAACTTTGAGTTTTGTTAAAAAAATAACAATCCTTAAATTTTATTAAGGGTGACATAATATACTAAATTAATGAAATATATCTTATTTAGTCTCTCAATTATAAATAAAATTTTATTTTTAATAGTTTTCAACATTTTTAAGTAGTAATTCTAAAAAATTAGAAATTTTAATTTTTTTAAAATATTTGAAAATAATTTATTTTTAAATTTTATTTAAAACAAATTTAAATGTAATTTAAAAATCATACATCCATAATATTATAATATCATATCAAATAATTTTTAATTTATATGATACAGATTTAATATTTATAATATAAAATTAAAAGATGATATTTATTTTATCTATATCTATTTTATTTTTAATTCAACGAACCTAATAAAAATTATTTAGATTAAAAAAATTAATTTTTAATTATAATTGAAGAGTCAAATGAGATATTTCTTAATGATTTTGTGTCTATTTTGTAACGAAATTAAAATTTAATATTTATCATGTAACTTTTAAAAGTTAAATATTAAAAAATAATTTTGACATAATTTAATGACCATTTATAAATTCTACCCTATAAAATTAATAATAAATTACAATGAACGAGATGCATCCTACATTTTTTTCCTATTTAAAGATAGTTAGGTCCGTTAAAAGTGTGTTAAAACTTGGTAGGTTAAACTGTATTAGAAGTTTGGAATTTGGTTGGCTTTCCAATATTCCAAAATGACCCCGGCAGTCCCTATAAACATCGAACCAAAACAGCCAAAACCCAGAAGGGGAAAATGGGAATACCAAATATTATAAGTTAAATATTGCACCATTGAATTAAGTCAATTATTAGTTGAAAAATATCACTATTCCTCAGCTGAGAACACAGGTGAGAAATATCAGCTGCAAGAAAGAAGAAAAATGGGTTCGGTGGCAATGGCAGGACTGCAGAAATACTTGTTACAGCTTCAGCATCACCCTTTGAGAACGAAGGTTTCTCTTCTTTTTCTTTTCTATTGTGTGTTTGTGTGATCTCGAAACTTCTTTTTTATGGGGGGTTGTGGGTCAAAAGAAAGTGCTAAATTGAGGGAAATTGGTGCAGGCAATTACGGCAGCGGTTTTGTCAGGGATCAGTGACACTGTTTCTCAGAAGCTTTCTGGAATACCCAAACTTCAGCTGCGACGGATTCTTCTCAAAATGGTAAAAAGATGCTCTCTTTGTTTCTTTTCTCCCTCTTCTGTGTCCGAGATTTGACCAACAGAACTGATGGGTAGAAACAAAGTTCACCTTACTGTTTCTATGTTTATACCATTTGAGTTAAAGGGGAAGATCAATATAAATAAGTGAATTGTGAATTGGAACCACTGCTATGTTAAGTCCTATGAGATGTTTAAGAAATTTGGGTGAAATTATATTGAGATTGGGAATTTATTTGTGTAGAACCAAAGAGTTGGTAATGAGAAGAAGGGTTGACTTTGTTATGTTATGAGATCATCGGAAGGGAAAATATGCAACTTTTACTATCATCTAACACTGTGATAGCCATATGCAGCTCTTTGGATTTGCTTATCTTGGTCCATTTGGACATTACATGTACATGTTACTGGATAAAATTTTCAAGGGGAAGAGAGACTCCAAAACTGTTGCCAAGAAGGTATGTTACACACAGCTTATTTCCCCTGTCATCCAATAAAATCCACTTTCAAATTCTGTTGATTCGAATCAGGGTATCATATTGAATTCAATCTGTCAACTTGATTCTCCTTGATAGGATCCAAAGGAAAGGGGTCTAATGCTGAGTAAAATTGTATCAGGTGGTGCTGGAACAGTTGACAACTTCTCCTTGCAACAACTTGATTTTCATGATTTATTATGGAGTGGTTGTCGAGGGTAAGTGGCATTAGGTTATGTACATATTCTCGGCAAGCAAAGAGACTGAATCTAAATCATCTCTTCGAAATAACTTGATTTTATGATACAATAATATTTGTGGTGAAATCTTGCTAAAACTTAATATTTAATTTTAAAGAAAGGCAATTGGGCACATTTAGTTTCATTGTTTCTTCTCCTGATGATGATGATAGTTTAAATGCAAACATAAAATACAGGAAGACCCTGGATGCATGTGAAATCTAGAATCAAGCAGGAGTATCCCAAAGTGCAGATGACTGCATGGACGGTATTACTTTGTT